GCAGCCACGCAAACACAAGTGCAGGTAGTTTTACAGGAGAATCAGAGGACATCTGTGCACCCTCGGAGGGTATAGCACGTTACACTGCACTCCAACACACAGACTAAAATTCACTAGAATGACTGCACATTCCTGTATTATCTGGACTCTCCCAGCCTTCTTCTCTCTCTTTTATCTGGACAGGGGTCTGTTGTGTTTTCGGGTTTGGTTTTGGTTTTTTAAAGTAGAGCAAAAACAACAATGTGAAGAACAGATCACATCTGTGAGAGAAGCTGTTCTACAGTTTGATATTAAAGTAAGCTGTTCACAAAACTATTGTGGAGTACAATAGCCAGCTAAGTCTGTAAGCTTCCTTTAAAGTATTATTACTAAAGTAAAATATGGAAGGATATATTCATGAAGGTGGGTTGGATTCAACTTCTTTGAACACTTGCTCCAAGATTGGCTTTGGTTGATAACATTCATCTCTAGAATCAAATCTAATGAATAAATAAAACAGCTGCCCTGTATAAAAGGCTTGATAAGCCATTCATCAAAATACACAAGACACATAAATACAGAAAAAAAAAATCTGTTTCAGTAAGACTATTCATATTATCCAATCTGGACACCTGAATATGACAAGTTAAGAAAATTAATTCAGGTAAGTACTAAAGCTGTAGCTGGTTCATTTTACCACTTTCCAGGAGAACTTACTCTAGCCTGACGATGAAACAGATAAAATCAAGATATATTCTACAATAGACTGTGTAAAGAACAAGATTTTCAGCCAGAAGATTGTGGAAATCAGGCTAAAATGACATTGTTCAACCTCAGAAGACAGAACTTCAGCTAGCAAAAAAAGCAGAAAACCAGCTCAACTCCTCTGACTTCAGGGGAGACATCTCAAATACCACCAGACAGGAATTTGGCATTTTCATTTAAAAGCTTTAGTTTGCAGGCTACCATTGCTAAATCAGGTACTATTAGTTAAGATACACGTCTTCTTAAAGACTTCAACAAAAGAAACAACCAAAATAGAATTTTAACAAAGGGCATCACTCCAGGTGAAGTGTCAAAGCATGAACGAGACTCAGTTCTACCAGCTCTGTAAAAGAAGGTGAAAAAATGTTGAATGTAGCAAAAATGTAGTCTTTGGCATACTGCTGAAGAAATGGATGAACTATCAGAGGTACAAGTCTATAGAGTGGTATAATTACTTCCTTTATAACTTTCCTCTCTTCTGATTATGTATGTATATTTTAAAGGTCCTCCATCCTTCAAAAGGGCATGGGAGGAGGGGGACCAGCTCTAAAGCTGCTGGTAAGAAATCCTAATCTCAGCATTGGTGTAAGCTGGAGGTGTCTATACATTTGAGCACTTCCTGTTTTCACTTCGTGATCAAATATGTTCTTTGCAGGGCAAATAGGGGAGCACTTGAGGGAGGAAAGCAGTGATGTCTGAGAGGCTAATTGAGTGTACTAAGAACTCCTTAGCATAGAGGAAAAGGAGTCTTCCAAAGCTATGAATAAACTCTCAGCTTGGGTCAGATTTCTTGCTGTTTCTTTTCTTTAACCACCTTTGAACTCAACTAAAAACAGTCTTAATGTCAGGTTTACCTTTCTGATGTCATAATCTTTACGTACTATTGAAAAGATTATACTACCAGACTAGGATTTCCTTTACTTTCTTAAACACTGGATGTTATCCAGAAAAAGCATACACATTTCCAACCAGTTCATCCTCAGATCTTTTATCTTCCGGTACTGTTGTAATTCCAAATGTAAGACAGAGCTCAGTAAGTGAACGAGAACATGACAGAAGCTCCTATTTCTTGCATTTGATTTCCAACAATAAAAACACGCATGTGTATCCTATTCCAAATATAATTAAAGTTACTACAAAATGGAAGCTGTGATAGGGGTTAGAAATAATTTTGAAAGACACAGCCTGTCAGACACATTCATTCTACATCAGAGTTCAAGTGCCTGTCTCTTCAAAAAAGCCACTTAGGCCATTCAATTTTTAAAATTGGCTGCCTTAAGAGTTTGCAAACTGATTGAATAAAGGAAAAAATAGCATTTTATTTAAAATCACAGGTAAATACAATTAGTCAGATCTGAGTTACTCTCTTGGAATTTGACAGTCTAAAGGACTTCTACTTCTAATCCATGCCAGAAGAGATGGACTGCCACTGCCTCTCCTTCCAGGGAAATCAGAGGTTAATGATTTTTGTCATATTGAGACTAACAGCTAACAATTGCTACAGTTGGCCTTTAGTATTTTATTTGTCCTTTTGAGGTATTCAGAATAGGTGACAATGGCTTGCAGTTGAGAACATATGTAGAGAGACCCCTGTGGCTTATGGAAAAGTTGCTCCATGCTGGTTGGGTGTTTGAAAAAAAAAATACAACCAGAGCTCTTTTATGTTCCTCTCCTTAATGAATGCATGAATGTCAAAATGTACCAATGGCCCATTCAGGGGGCAAAGCCTAAGCAGCTCCTTCTTTAAGAACACATCCTGAGACGTAAAATACATTTGCTTAACAAATTAAAATAATGAGATAATTCAATTAGTTTCTTTAAAAAAAAAAAAAGAGAGAGAGAAAGAAAAAAGGGTACATCAGGGGATTATTGTAATACAAGAACAGGTCATACAGCACAAAAGAGGAACAAACCAATTTGAAATAAGGTTAGAGTAGTAATGAAGGAATGTACATTGAATCATGGACTGCCATTGTAAAGATATTTACTTGAAACAATAAAATTGTACATCACAGATTCTCCTGTTCTGGCTCAGCCAGAGTTACATTTTGAATGGACGAGCTAATTTGAGAAAAAGTGTAAGATCTTTAAAAGAAAGGAGTTTTCTTCCTTCCCTGCATGTGTTTATGGCAAGAATCTTTCTGAATTTACATTGCACTGGTCAGGGGTCTCCATTATCAGTTTGCAGGTCTGAGAATTACAGCGCAGTAAATCTTTCAACACCTGCAAACTCATTAAAGCCTGGACGGTAAAAGGTTTGGGGCTTTTTTGCGTTCATTTAATCTGATTTTTGTGAGGCCATCCTCACCAGTGATGGCAAATTTCCTTAATTCATGCAGGATGGAGAGGGTCAGGAGAGAGAGGATAGAAACAAGGAAAAGGGATTTCAAAAAGCCAGAAGGACTTTCCTCAAGAGAAGCAAGAGGCAGTTGACTGTTTAATAAGCAAGTGCCAAATGTTTTCAAGGAGCACATAAGAAAGAAAGGCAGGAAGGAAAAAAACTAGATATCACAAATTTCATTAGAGGAAATGGAGTTAACATGGAGATGTCTACAAACCAAACTTGTTTATTTGTGGCCCTGCTTTTTTGCTGTCTGCCTATACTACTTGTCTAAAGATACCCTACAGCTAAATGAAAAACCCTCCACTAGCACTCACTCGACTTCCAAATTAAAAACATTTTACAGGTTAGTAAATCTCCAGCTGAGGTGATGTAGCAAAGAACAGCTGTGAAGTAATTTTGATAATGATGAGAATAATAAGCACATGGCAAGGTTCAGGGCTTTGCTGTTGCAGCTTCAGTGCTCCTGAATAGATAAAAGTGATTAAATACTCCTGATTATCCCTGACCAATATGTAATGGATTTACAGCCCTTTCAATTAGTCAGTATTTGCTTAGGACTCATTATTTTGTCTTTGGTTAAGTAATCAGCCCAGAGACTCATGTTCTGTCTAATTCCTCTGAGCCAAGTGGGTACAGGGCACCTGACCTTTGAAATGGCCATAGCTGAGAGGCAGGAATAACCACTACTCCAGCAGAGACACTGGCTATTCCACCTAATCCTGACCCCACAGGCCAGATCAATGCACCTTAGTTTGCTACTAATGTCCTTACATCAAAATGATGGTTTAGAAATGTGAATCTATCGCTCCCCCCTTTAGCTGTGCTGCTGGCAGAGCAGTTCGATAGTCTCTATCATAAATAAATCGGGTCCTGGAATCATTACACTGTAACCAACAGCAGGAAATATATAAAACCATGGAAATTTATAAAACTTTGGTAGAAGAAGAGGTAGTTAATAACAGTTAGCATTTCCAGCCTTATCAAGTGAGAAACAATTTCAAAGTGCGAGAAAGAAGAAAATCAATTGATAACTTTACCAGTTTCCATCATTTCCCACATGAAGTAAACTAGGTTTACTAGATTTTCTGTAGAACTGTGTTTTGTTGCCTAAGTGAAACTATAATAGTCAACAGAACACCAACACAAAACCAATAGCAAGCAGACAAATAAAAGCCCAAGGAAAGCACTGCTATTTCACATATTTAATCTCTCTCCCCTCTAATGTGAATATTGCTGGATTTTAATATTCATGGACTTGAAGAGAAGCGAAAAAGGTGCTTATTCTCTCTGTCACACAACTGAAAAATTAGGGAATCTGTAAGCCTTCTTTATTTCCTCAGAAAAATTTAAAAATGACAAGGTTGCAAGCTGCTGCTCTAACATCCACAGTGTATGTCAGCACATGCACACAGACCAGGGCTCTCTCTTTTACCACACACATAGGAAGTTTGTGGAAACAGAGGCCAGCAATAAAGAATCCAGGAGGCAGAGTTGTACATGTGCTAAAGCAAGAATCCCCCTTTTGCTGTCTGTAGCAAGATTTTGAATAGTTCAAAGCCAAAAATGGTAACTTCATATACAGGTGGTGTTGCATGCTAAGGTGTTGTACTCTGTCTTTTTCTCTCTATAGGATGTGTGTGTATATGTATATATATATATATATACACACATATATAGAGAGATAGATTGATAGATAGACAGATTGATAGATAGACAGATGGATAGATAGATTTCTTTGAGATTTGTCATGATTCCAAGACCCAAGAAAAAACTCGAATACAATAAAAGAGCAACAAAGCCTTAGACCTAATAATGGTCAAAAAATTATGGGGACAATTGATTTCTAATAATGATGAATAAAACTCATTAGGTACATGAATAGAAATGTATTTTGGTTTTGGGCACCACTTACTGTGAGATGCTGGAAAAGCCACGCTCTCATGATATTTGTTGCTACTTTGGGGAAAATGCCTCTTTTCTTCTGACGCTTTTTGTCCTTGTCTGGGTCATCATCATCTCCTGTACCAGGTGAGGCTACGCTGTTGTCTAAACCATCACCTACAACAAAGAGAAAAATAGGAAGGAGGAGATGTTTAATGAACCAAATACAGAAGCCAAAAAATATAATTAATTGCCAAGACACGACCACAGTTTGGGGGTTTTAATCTGTTAGATCGGGCACATACCATTTCTCATTATATAAGAATGCTGATACAAATACGTAAAAATTAGAAAACCGTGTCTCTCCAAATACTAATTTTGTGTTTCACACATGCATATATCATTAATTCAATTATAATTGTGTGCTTGACATAGTGCAGTAGCTCTTTTTCAATTATGGGATTCAATGTGGGAAAACCTGCCACAAGAAAACCCATTTGCTGTAAATGCATCCCTACAACCATTCTGAATATGTACGTATAAGTAATCAAGTTAAATGTTCTGTAGTCTATATATTCGAGGCCCTCTGCAGAGGTGGCAGTAACCATGTCACCGTTCAGTGCACATAACACACTGTCAGATGAGCCCCTCCCCGAAACCATCACCTCCCTGCACACACAGACACGCACTTGCAAACACGTACACCTAGTGTGACCCTGCACATAGCATTTGCATGACATGAAAACTTCTACATCTCTGCATCAGTGATTATTATCATTAAAAAAAAAAGATGCACATCAAGGTAGAGCTCTCACTTAATCAGAACTTTCCATCAACATCCTTCTCTTCTGTGCTTTTCCCTGGCATTAATTGTGCATTAGCAAAAATCATTTACTTTTAACAGTCATAGTTATTTTTTCTTGCCCTCCAGCAAAAATGCCTTGAAAGCCTGCCTGGAGGGCATCTAAATTATGTATCTGAAAAACTCTTCTGGCAAGGCATTGCAGGACCCCTACTTTCTTAAAATTCATACGAGCACGTCTTCCTGTTTTTGGGAAGGCATCAATCAAGAGCAGCAATATATGCCATATTCCTACATTAATATTTGAACTAATAACTTTAAAAAAAGGAAAGAAACAAGATCCGACTTGTGGCATAATCAAATGCAAAATAAATGAAGAATACTGGGACAGCACTGAGACTTTATAGATTGCTGTGTTTTCCTTACACATCATTAGCCCGGAGCCACACGAAAGAGGAAAACAGAGAAGTGGAGAGTTTATGCTCCCTGCTGGTGTTTAAGAAGCCGAGGTCCTGGAAGGACATCTGGGAATTGTGCTGAGACGGTGGTTTTTGTAATTTAAGAATAGACATTCATTAGCAGTAAATGCCATAAATCCCATGCTAAGTAAAAACCTTGTCCAAGAAAGCCTAAAACAATAAACTCTGTGCTCAATGTAGCCTGAGCTAGACGCTCCATAGCTTCCTGAGGAATGCTATAGATTCACGAGCTAATTCCTATAGCCTCGTCTAGATCTGTAGTGCTACTAAACGAAATACATTGCTGCTACATACAGTCCATTTGCTTCAAAACTTCCATTTCAGCTCCATCTTCCCTCCCATACCAGATCACCCTTCTTGTACTGCGTCCCCTCTGAAAAACCGACCTTTTTGGACTGGAGAGACAGAAAAAGCCACAGCAAAGAGCTGGCAGATTAATTTTATTGACATTTCCATTTTCACTGCAATGTGATACCCTCCATCACATGGAAGAGATGACCCTCACTATTTACAGACTGACAGGCCACTTCATTACAACCACCCTGCCCCAAGGCAGAGCAGCTCCTTTCCATCTGCCCAAACACCAGAGCAAGACCCTGAAGTCGCTGCTCTCTTTCTCGTTTGTTTTTTTTTTTTTTCTATTAACGATAGAGAAAGGGGAGTCAAATCACAGTAAAGTAGTCGAAGAGATTATGGAAGCTCTAAACACCGTAACCAACCGTTTGCTTTTGCAATATATTGGTTATTTAGAAAGCACTCCTTTCTGCTGCTTTCTTCCCCGCCATGTATTCCACCCTACCCTCTCTCACAGACACGTGTGCGCGCACACACACGCGCACACACTTCCCACTATGCCAAGGAACTGCTGCAAGGCAAATTCTCACAAACACTAATGGCTTCTGACTGCTCCTTGGCAACCCCAGCATTTTAACCTGGGTGGATATGCTCTCCAAAATACAGACACTGGAGCTATCTCATCAGCTGTTCATGTGACACAGATGGAGAGTGGCTATTAGGAGCCAGGCAATGGGCCTTGGGGATCTGAGGTGCTGTACTGTAGCCTCAGGCAATTTTGAAAAGCAGTACCCGGAGATGGGGGGGAAAAATCCCTACTGAAAGTGCAAGTTTGAAGTCAGTCAGTCTGTTTGTCTATCTGTCGTGCAGATAAAGATATCTTTGTCTCTTTATGTAAAAGTAATGCGTGTATGCACAGAATGTGTGGAGCTGTAAAACTTCTGCTCTGCACCATCCTTTCAAACCACAGAAACATCAGTTCACTCTCTTTATGGACAAATTCCTGTCTGCCTGCATATAGTCTCCTATTTGTGAGCATCCTCAGCTGGAGTCTCCCACACGCTATATCAGTACTTGGACTTTTTGATGAGGTTATTAATATCCTGGTTTAAAAAATCTAGTAGCAGCCCAAGAAGGAAAAGTTCAACTAAAGCTCTCATTACCTTCCCATCCTAATCAGCAGCTGAAATCATGAGTTGGTGCTTGCCTAATCTGTTCCATAACCTCACGAAAGGAAATTAAAATATTGTAACTCCAAATGATATCAGAAGAAAAATATAGCAAGATTTGTTTCTCCTGGCGTACAACAGGCCCAGTCCTGTTAATCTATATTCTCATATTCTCTTTAATAGGACTACCACCACTCATGTTAGTGAACTCAGCTTCTAATGAGAAGAAATCATAGAAAAAGCCCATAACCGTCTTTTCCGAGATGGAATTATTTACTTCTGGTCCTAGTTTTCTTTATCCAAATAAACTTGTTACTTCAAATGAAGCAAAATTAATTATCAAAAGCAAAATAAAATGAACAGATATGAAAGTCACTTTATGGCAGACTGGATTAACTATATTTTTCACTACTGTATGAAGGAATCAAAATTTAAATAAGTTAAATTATCATTACAAGAAATTCTGCTTATATGAACTATTCATATCCTGGTTTAGATGGTAACTTGTAAGAAGAATAGAGTCAAATCCTAAGTTCTATGGAAATGGCAATTATACAAGCATAGTCATCCCAATTTTCTAGAGAAGAAATTAAGGTTTGGATTTTGGTCCATCGTCTCTCTCTTTTACATAGAAGTAAAACAACTGAGGGTGATTTTCTGCTGCTTTCTGTACTGTTTAGTCACTTATTCTTGTGCAAAGAGTACACATGATTGCAAAACTCTATCTGCTGTAGGGAAGTCAAGAATTCTTAAGTGGCCCTCTCTCTGTGGAGGTGTCAATGACTACGCAGGAGTTGAGCCAGTAGAGAATTAGGTGTTTTACCCAGCTTGTTTAAGATTACAGCAGTGCTATGTAATAGCATGTGAAAGATGTAGAGAGCCTGCAAGAAACCTTGCAAAGGGACCCACCTGGGGTCCCTTAAAGACCATCTCTTCTAGGGGAAGAGTTTGTGGAGGATGCAAGTCTTCTTTACACAGCGGGAAGTTGGGCTTCCACACTGGCTCTGTGTTCAGGCACTCTTAGTCTGTTCTGAGGGTTTCCTTCCACAAGATAAATTCCTTTGCATTGAAAGTAAAGGAGACTGCCTCTTCTTTTAAAAATATCACATAAGTAGTTATAGCAGGGTTTCCAATGCACCATAATTCCAACTTGCTGCAAGCTGATTTCCTTGGACAGATAAGCTTGCAAAGCCCAGTGTTGACATAGCCAAGGACTCTTTGAGAAACACAGACCAGTCCTACATAAAACCTGTCCAACCTTATTGTATCAATGAATTTTTCTTTGTTAGTCTTCGACATTATCAGCATTATTCCAACCCTAGTCTTTGTGTTTTTTCACAGAGTAAAAACCCAGCAACAGATGAAGCAAGTTTAGAAGTTGCTCATCTTGTCTTTTTACCACTTGTGAACAGGATGAATAACAAATTCCCAATCTATCAAAATGATAACTGAAAAGGATGACCCAGTCAGACCAAAGCACAGAAGCCTGGTAACAGTCCAGATTCAAATTCTAGAAATAGTTTCTGCTACCATCATAGCAAGTAGAGCAGTTAAAAAAGTGATTTCTGGAAAAGTGCATTTCAGGACCCAGTGTTTGAGTTTCTTCACCATCAGAGGTCCCTTACAGCTTTAAGGTTTGTCACACTAAATGAAAAGAGAGAACAGCAGGAGTATCTAAACTCGGGGGAAGACAAGACACTTTGCCATTTTTCTAAAAATAGTGGATGCAATACGAAAAGCAAGTTAAAGGATTCTGAAAAGGAAAGCTGCAGTGCACTATGCTGATCTTAAGTAAGCTACTATAATCTTTCAGTCTAATATTTTGATGGAGTGGAATATGTAGATATAAATGCAAAATAAAGAGGAAAATCTGCATGCAGCCTATATTCACAATTTGCAATTATTTTTTTGTACTTATATGTCCATCTCAACACATAAATATTGTAAATCATTATTAATGAGGACATTCAGCTTAGTAATACAATCCATATCGCCACCAGAGAAAAAGCTTAAAAATCTGGTTAATTATCACTGCCAAAAAGCTGGAGAGAGTAGTGTCTGAAGATGTTTTTGAAGATAAGATAGTCTGTGCTGAAGGGAAGACTAACAGAGAGGGAAGGTCAGCTCCAGAATCAAAGACCCTTCAGGAGAATCCTTATCTTCACTCCATCCTGTTAAAATTATCAGGCTTTTAGCCTTACTGCTCCAGTATAGCACAGATTTTTGAATGAAGTCCTGGCTAGGGATTGTTTTTTTTCCTCTTCCTCCTAATGATCCATGTTCAAGGAAGTTGACTTAAACCTCCTCATGCCACCGGAGCCATACTTATCTCAGGCATTTCTTGGCCAGGGAAACTAAGGTAAGATAGGTTATGACTGGCAAATATGGGGACTTTGAAAATCACAAGCAGTGCAGGTGGGCAACCCAGATTAG